GTATATATATTATAATATATATACATTATATATTATGTGTATATCGTGTATATATAATTATTTATCTTATAATATAGACATACGTATAATGTATATATTTTATATACAATACGCGTATATTATATGTGTATATATTCTATATAATTATGAATAATACATACATTATATATAATGTCTAATGTATATAACTACATATACACACACTATAAACACACATATACTGTGTATATTATTGTGTATATAGTGTATATATATTATAATTATTTATCATAATATATACATACATATAATGTATATATGTTATATACAATCCGCATACATACATTATATATTGTGTGTATATTGTGAGTATATATTATAATTATTTATCATATAATATATACACATACATATAATGTATATATGTTATATACAATACACATACATTATATATATATATGTATATATTCTTTTTAATTATGTATAATATATACATTGTATATTATATGAGTATATATAGTGTATGTATATGTGTGTATATATTATAATTATTTATCATATAATATATACACATATAATGTATATATGTTATATACAATACACATACATTATATATATGTATATATTCTATATAATTATGTATAATATATACATTGTATATTATATGAGTATATATAGTGTATGTATATGTGTGTATATGTTATATGATATATAATATGCATACATTATCACGAAGAGTCGGAGACGACTGAACGAATGAACAACGAGGCAATGCATACATTATATGTGTGTATATATTATATATTCTATATAATTACATATCATAATATATACACACATATAATGTATATATATTAATATATATACATTATATGTGTATATATATTATATATATAATTATGTGTGTATATATATATATATATATACACACACACACTATATATACACATATAATTATATAATATATATGTATACATACATACATATATACATTGTATTTTTTTTCCCTTTCCTTTGGATGGATGCACTTGTCCCATTGGTTTTATATGGACGTTTCTGGGCTCTTTCCCAAAAATAAACCGGATTTTTTGGGGGGATTAATGCTAATATATATGATTAAACCATAGGCTTCTCAATATATATATATGCCTTCTGTGTGTGTTTTTTTTGGGGGGTCAAGGGGTATATTTATAGGAGAGAGGAACCTATTTGCTTGGCATTGAATGGACTAGATCGCTATAATAATATAATATAATATAATATAATATAATATAATATAATATAATATAATATAATATAATATATAATAATATATAATATTATAATATAATATAAATATATAATATAATATAATAATATATAATATAATATAAAATTATAATATAATATAATAATATATAATATAATAAACAACAATATATAATAATATATAATATAATAAAATAATATAATGATAATAAATATAAATATAATGATAATAATTATAAAAATAATATTATATAATAAATATAATAATGTAATGGTAGTAAAATAATAAAATATAAAATAATATAATAATATCTTATTTTACTAAATGATAATAAATATAATAAATAAAATAATGTAGATAATATATAAATAATATATAAATAATAAAATATAATATAAATATAATATAATATAATAATAATAAATAAAATAATATGATATAATAAAATATATAATAATATATAATATAATAAATATAATATAATGATAATACAATATAAATATAATAATGTAGATATGGTAGTAAAATAACAAAATATAATATTTTACTAAATGATAATAAATATGTAATATAATAATGTAGAAATAGTAGTAAAATAATAAAATATAATAGTAAAATAATAATATAATATATAATTTTATTTTACTAAATGATAATACAATAGAAATATAATGATAGTATAATTATAATAAAATAATATTAATATAATAAATATAATAATGTAATGGTAGTAAAATAATAAAATATAATATCTTATTTTACTAAATGATAATAAATATAATAAAATATAATAATGTAGAAATAGTAGTAAAAGAATAAAATATAATAGTAAAATAATAAAATTTAATAATATCTTATTTTACTACATGGTAATTAATATAATATAATAACGTAGATATAGTAGTAAAATAATAAAATATAATAGTGAAATATAATATAATATAATAATATATAATAATATGTAATATAATATAATAAAAATAATATGATATAATAATATATATAATAATATATAATATATATAATATAATGATAATACAATATAAATATGATAGTATAATTATAATAAAATATATAGTAATATAGTAAAATATAATGTAGATATGGTAGTAAAATAATAATAATAATATTAATATAATATAATAATGTAATGGTAGTAAAATAATAAAATATGATATCTTATTTTACTAAATGATAATAAATATAATATAATAAAATATAATAATGTAAAACATATAGTAATATAGTAAAATATAATAATGTAGATATGGT